TTAGGCATTGATTCCGACTTCAGCCAGGTGAAATTTGCTTCAAAATAAAATTGCCTATTGGTTGTTCTATGATGTTAAGAATTAAATTGTAAATCTGATCAACCTCAGGGTAATATTAGAATTATTTATAAATAAATTAGTTAAAAACTCCATCCCATCAAATTTGTTTAATTCTTTGCTTCTCATTCTTTTTAAAAAAAAAGTTACAGTTTAAAAAACAATTCAGTATTTTACCCACATTTAATTCAAGTTTTGAACTGCTGCGTAATGGATATTTAAACTTTTTGGGCACACTGCGTCAATACTTTTCAACTTTTGGATGATTTAGCAATGCTAACAAGTTATTTGCTTTATATAATTTATTCAAACATGCAATTCATAACCATTCTAGTACTTTAAATAAATTCCAGATGATCATACTGACCGATTTTCACGAGAGATTGACACATCACTTTGATTTCAATAGCATTATGCTAAAAACAGGATTTTTTGAGGCATTCCAGATTTTTCCAGATTTTATATTTTAACTGGTACAGATTTTTCTGAAAATGACCTGGTAACGCTGTCCAAGCGTATGAGAGCGGAAAAATATCATTTGATTAATGATTTTGCCAACACTGATCGTGAGAACGTCATCTGCGATTAGCCGGCCCTTATACAGTGGTGACCCGATTTTGTCAGCCCCCGATTTTGTCTACCCCCGATTTTGTCAGCTTTTTGACCCGATTTTGTCAGCCTATATGATTCAATTAGTTTTGGTTGAGGGGGACTGTTTTGTACAGTCGTATTCGTATTTTATTGATTGTCTAGCTCAATAATGACATTTTTCGAGAATTAAATGTGCAGTGGTGGCAAAATCAAAGCAGGGGAAGGGGGGTTGAGGGGCTAGTTGAAAATTATGTACGTTATGCATGTGTTTTTTGTTTTCTTTTTTTAATAGTAAGGTTTAGGAAAGCTTCAAGAAGCCTAGCCTGTAGTGAAGTTGGCACGGTGTGGTATCCACTAGTTGCCTATTACAGCTCCACTAAAACCCATTCCTTACTCTCTCCTCTGCCTGGATCCCCCCGGGACCACTGTGAAGCGACTACTTCGGGGGGTGGCTGTGCTCATGCACTTGTCGTACTCTCAGCGCTAGCTGGCGTTGCTAGATCGCTGCTCTTCTCTCCATTTACGCTGCAGCTCTGACATAATCTGCGTGACTGCCCTGCTGACGGCATTCCAAGAGTCCTCCTCTCGACACATTTCATCGACGACATTCTCCACGGTAAGGACGGGCATCTCCGTTCGCACTGCCTCGAACCTTGGACAGTCGAAGACCACATGCTCCGGCGTTTCATCGACGTTGCCACACTCCGGACAAAGGGGTGACGCTGCGTGTCCGAACCGATGCAGGTATTTCCTGAAGCAGCCGTGGCCAGACAGGAACTGCGTTAGGTGGAAATTGACTTCTCCGTGTTTTCTGTTCACCGAGGTCGAAAGAATCGGTATTTGTCTTTGTGTCCATTTACCGTTCTCCGTCGTGTTCCACTCCTGTTGCCACTTAGCCAATGACTCCACTCTCACAACTTTCCGTACTCTTCCGGCTTCTCTCCGCCTGTAGCACTCGCTGTCCTCCGCCAGGGTGATGCCGATTTTGATCATACCGGCGATAACGCATACTGCTTCCGACGAGATGGTTCTGTACGCACTCACGACTCGCATGGCTATGAGCCGGAACGTACTGCTCAGTTTCCTTTGGTTCTGCTTCGTTTCCAGCGCTGGAACCCAGGCTGGACCTCCACATCTCAGTATCGATGATGACACGCTGGCCAGAAGACGCCTCTTGCTACTGCTGGGACCAGCGTTGTTTGGCATGATTCTAGCTATCGCGTTGATGGCCTTCGAAGCCTTCTCATAGGCATATTCGACGTGGCTGTTGAAGTTTAGCCGGTCATCGATCATCACTCTCAGGTATGTTAACACACGCTTCGAGGCTATGGTGTGCTCCCCGACGGTGATTTCTGCCCGCTGTACCGCTTTACAGTTACTGACCAATAACATTTCCGTTTTGTGGTGGGCTATTTGCAGCTTCGCTCCTTGCATCCAGTTACCAATCATGTCGATTGCCTCGGTTGACAACACTTCCACCTCTTCCAGCGTCTCGCCTGTTACCGTCAAGACGACGTCGTCCGCAAAGCCAACGATCTCAACTCCTTTGGGCAGTTTCAGCGTTAGCACGCCGTTGTACATCCCATTCCAGAGCGTTGGACCAAGGATGGAGCCTTGTGGAACTCCCGCTGTGATCCTAATCGATCTCAGTCCCATGTCTGTCTCGTAGACCAGAACCCGGTTCTGGAAATAACTCCTCAGGATCCTGTACAAGTAGTCAGGGACCCTCATTCTATGCAGTGCTTCGGCGATGGCCTCCCAGCTGGCGCTGTTGAACGCATTCTTGACGTCGATCGTTATCATGGCGCAATATCGATCTCCTCTCCGCTTCTGTTTAGACGCCTTCTCAGCTCTCTCGACCACTGTCCGAATTGCATCAACCGTCGATCTCCCTTTCCGGAATCCGAACTGCCTCTCCGACAATCCGTTCTCACTCTCCGTGTATTTCGTCAGCCTGTTTTGGATGATTCTCTCCAAGAGTTTTCCGAGTGTATCCAGCAGGCATATAGGCCTGTACGATGCTGGATCCCCCGGCGGTTTTCCTGGTTTCGGCAGCAACACTAGCTTCTGTATCTTCCACCTGTCAGGGAAGTGACCCTCATTCAGGCATTTCTGCAGCACCATCCTGAACATGTCCGGGATGACTGGATCGCCGCTTTCAACGCTACTTTGGGGATTCCATCTGGACCGGGAGCTTTCTTCACCTTCAATCCTTTCGCCACTGCTACGAGTTCCTCGTTGGTGACTTCGATGTTATCTCTCTCTCCTTCTCTGTACGGTGTAGGTGGCCAGGTTGTTGGGTCGTGCTTTGGGAAAAGTCCTTCCATGATGACTTTCAGCTTCTCTGGGCACATTTCAGCGGGCATCTTTGGACCTCTGATCTTCGCCATCACGACTCGGTATGCGTCGCCCCAGGGTTTGGCATCAGCGTCTCGACACAGTTCGACTTGCTCTGCTTAATCTCTCGTTTAAGTGCGGCCCTGGCCGCTCGAAACACTTCTCTTCGTTCCTCTCTGTCTGCTTCCGTTCTTGCTCTCTAAACACGTCTTCTGGCTCTGAGACAACTAGCGCGGAGAGTGCTAAGTGCCTCGTTCCACCAGTAGACTGGACGCCGTCTGTTATTTGGCTCCAGTTTCCTCGGCATGGTCGTGTCACATGCTCTCACTAACGTTTCTGACAGCTCGTCCGCATTTAGATCACACGAAGTGCCTCAACGACAGTGGAGAGCAGAACCATTTATTTTGTGAACAATTCCTCGAATTTCGTGGCTCGAAATGTTGGTAGCGTAGTTTGGGACGATTTTCGCCCATGAGATGAAATGGTCAATTGATTATGTAACCATATTCAATAACTTTATGAAAAAAAATTGTGTGTGTGTGTGTGTGTGTGTGTGTGTGTGTGTGTGTGTGTGTGTGTGTGTGTGTGTGTGTGTGTGTGTGTGTGTGTGTGTGTGTGTGTGTGTGTGTGTCAAAATCTCTACAAATTTCATTCAGAGAATTTTAATATGGGGTCCATGGGACATATGCAAGTCTTTATTATGCACTATGTATTATTATTGTTGTCCTTACTGAAAATGCTTAGCAACATATGCATTGAGTGGCCATTTAATTCTTACCTAAGTTCATTTAGCCCCCCCCCCCCCTCCACACCATCAATGTAAGAATGTCTTTCTTTATATGACACTTACGGAAAGTTTGAAATTCCAGCTCCCCCCCCCCCCCCTAAATGGGCTCGTATATATTGAATGATTCCTAAAACATAAATCTTGCATTATCAAACAGCATTTAAAGATATTATGTTAAAAAAATTAAGCGAAAAAAAATGTCCCGATTTTGTCAGTGTCCCGTTTTTGTCAGCCTTAAATTCATCAGGGGGCTGACAAAAACGGGGCATTACTGTATTTGACATTGACGATGGATGTCAAAATGACGTTTCACGTTTTATTCGAATAATCGATTCTTCGATCATCACCCATCGTTTCAAACATGTTCTGCATTCTCATTGGAGGAAAAATGACAGCATAGGGATCAAAACAAACTTGATTAGTTCTTCTTCTTCTTCATTCTTTTATCTAACGTCGGTCTCTGTTCCGCAATCTAGTGACAATCACCGACGGACATCGATTGCCATACATTGACGGCAATCTAATGTGCAGGAAGGCAGTTTCCACACCTGCGTAGGATATCGCACCCATTCAAACACACATGGGCCGGGACCAACGGCTTTACTTCCCTTCCGAAGGAAGACGTGACCAGAGATTTTTATGCCTCAGAAAAATCCCGCCGAACCCAGACCCATTGGGGTGAGAAAACAGTCACGCTTACCACTACACCACCGGCACCGGCTAATCGATTAGTTATCAATAGCGGAATTAAAAAAATGTGACATCTATGATTTTTGGTGTTATTGTTTTGATACAGGAAAGGGCAAAATGTCAACTCTACCGAGGGGGCAGCATAAGCACAAAAACGCCTTGCATGCGGGTGTATTCATTGGATGAAAGAGGACACTAAAACACACGGCCAACCAGAACGACTCAGCGACTGAATTCAATTGACTTAGAGCATTTTCTTTCCATACGAAATTTACTCATATTTGGAAGAACCTGCAGTTAATCATTAGCTATGAGTTCCTGCAGGTTTTCCCAAATATGAGTAAATTTCGTAGTCAATTGAATTCAGTCGCTGAGTCATTCTGGTTGGTCGCACAGAAGATTCTTGCGACAGTTTCATCTTTGCATTCTTCTTTGATTTTTTAAATTAAAAAATACTACTATACATCACCTGAAAGAGGATGTTGTTGGTCCACCTAACAAACGCTTCCATTTCAAAACGGAACGAAACTTCAAAACAATAATGAAAGAATTACCAGACCTTAAAACCACCCATATAAACGCCAAAATGGCCTTGAAAACCTCCAAAATAAGCCCTATAATTGCCAACAATCTCCTTAGAAACGGCTATCTGGTTCGAAAAAAACGCCCTTGAATCCGCCAAAATGGGCTCAAAACGCTTAAATAGCCCTTAAATTCGATGAGAAAAACGTCAAAAAAATGGCAATCGCAGTTTTTTCCTCAACCCCCTCGAAAAAAAAAACGCTCCGCTCCGACCCAAATTGGCACCAATTCCGCTCACACATCCATAAAGTGTGATTTCTAACCTCGAAAGATTTCACCATCGCGAAGCAATCCAATAAACACACGGCTTGACTCGGTCGCTAATGCAGCAGCAGCAGCAGCAGCAGCCATCATCGAGTACCGAATTTGTGGGGCTGCAATCTCTGAGACTGCAGCCACCGACCGACCGACTGACTGACTGGAAGAATCTCTTTCTATCTCTGTCTGACAACGACGACGGCAACGACGGAGTGTCGTTACCTAATCAAGTTGTCTTGTCGTGATTTTCATCGTCCGCCGCGCTTTTTTTTTTGCTGGTGGTGTGCGTGCGTGGCGGATCGCTTGCTAAATGGAGCCAATTGAAAACAATTGGATGGCTTCCATGTTGATGTTGTTGTCACACTCTGCCCATATGAGTGCGACAGGAAACAATTCATTCCAGCGGAGGAGCGCAGTCGTTATCAGAACGAGCTCAACTGGGGCAAACATGGTAGGTGATTGGGAGCGAGATAATACAAGTATTTAATTTTATGACCGTATCGAAGAAAAAAAAGAAATAGAAGCAATCACAAACAATCAAGTAGGCTGGATGGGTGAACCCGAGCAGAAGAAATTAAAAAAAAAAGTTTGACATTTTTATGATGCGCCAAAATTTACAACCCGGAGATGTGATGGCAAAGTTGCTTGACATCCAGGTGCAGCCGGTCAACCTTCGGACCGGGTTTACCCCAAGCGACAGTGCGATGATGTTTATGGAGTGTTGTTTTTATTTTTTCCCCATTCAGAAGCTGATACCCAGCGTCGTCGTCGTCGTCGTCGTTGGCTGTGTGGTGACTATGTGGTTTTTTTGCTGCTCATACACAAACTCGTACGAGAGTTAGCAAATAGTATAGGAATACAGAGAGTACGCTATTAAAGCCGACGAAGCCAATAGATGACGGTACACGGCGATGATGATTGCGCTGATTAGAAAAGAGTAGCGACTCACGCGCGCGTGTGACTGTGTGTGTGTGTGTGTCAATGTGCGGTGCAAATAGATAGTCCAACTGGAGTGACTTTTTGTTTGTTGTTGCTTTTTAATGATGGGCCATTCTAACGAACGAACGAACGAAAAAATACTAGAAGAGAGAAAATAGATAGTCTTTTGCAATGGCCTCGTAAAGTGGAACGATGCGGGTGAAATTGTATGACCAATTTGGACGCTTTAAAGGGGGGAGGGAAATGCGGTAGGTGCATACCATCCTTCGGACCATCAATGGATGTGATACCGCAGATCATCCGTCAGAAGGAATCGATTCGTGATATTTTCCCTTCAAAAGAATTAACCTCGTTTCCGAAGGAACGAAACCATAATGCAATTAGTTCTGCTTTTACGGAGCCGTGAATTATGAATTAGGCCATCTTTTCCTATAGTACCATTACCCTTCCATTTCGGAAAGAGCCTAACCTCTGTAACCAGTATTCCACCACCATGGTTGGCAGGTATGGCGGTGGGTGGTAATCCAATAAATTGGCTTCTGTAATTAAAAGTAGTGGTGGCAACTGCTGTATGCTGCTGGTAGAGCTACGTTCTAGGGCGGCGGCATTCTGATGGCTGTGGTGGCCAAGTTGACTGACTGACAGACAGGTGTGATGTATTAGGAAGGTGTTGCCTGACGACTGCGGGTAGCCCCGGTAACCTCAATGAGATTATTATGGGCTTTGCCGGATGTTCGCTTCAGCCGCGTTGTTTCGTTGGAACACGAGCGAAGGGTTAAGCAAGGAGATGGCTCGAAATGGAAATTTATGCCAGCAAAATTGCAGCGAAGAACGCTGCCAATGGGGTCACACTTTCCTACTTCGATAACCATTTGAAGAGTAAATCTCGATTAATTTTTGAATAAGTTCCAATTGTTAATCGTTGTTCAGAAAATCCGCGAGAGGTGAACAAAGCTTTGTGAAATACTGATGCTAACAATGTTTTACTTACTATCTTTTACGAGGGTACATGTCCCTAACCTCGGTCTAATAAGCAGCCTTAAATTACATTGTATGTCATCATCTTATTTGATAACTGAGCTGCAAACGATATTTCACTGTCAAATGATCTATTTTGACTATACTGGGGGTGACGAAATCGAAAATGAGGCATGTAACGAAAACGGAGGAAGTTTTCAATCGCATATTTCTCAAAACTATAAATGAGAAATATAGCATGCAATATGTCATTCGACTGATAATTTATCCAGCATTTTTTTGGTGTGATCAAATTTGCTGTCAGTTTAATCCAGGATATTTTGTTAATTTTTTTTTTATTTGTGCATCGTTAATCATTAAAAAACAACTTATCATTACTTAATTAGGCTGCATCAAAAATTTACGAACGTTTGAGTTTACTCCAGCCATGAGAGTCAGTGCAGACCTTTCTGCAACCGAACTCCGGGCAGTTAGGTGGATTCGCCTCCTTCGGTACAACATGGACTCCATTCACTGCATTTCGTCAAATATTCGCGATACAACTTACGAACACGTGTTTTGGCCGTCACATTCTGCTTATCATTGCGGTTCGGCACAGTTTTCACCTTGAATGACTTCAATCGATGCTTCGATGCACGAACGTTGGCGAAATTTCAATTTTACGAGTAACAGTACGTATACCGAAAGATCTGGCCTCCTCCGTAATATTTGTTTCACCTTCACGTCGTTCTGGTGGTTCCTCAAATCCGGTTTTGTTCCGCTTCCCGTCTTCCTAGCTGTTGCCAAACGAGTATCGAACGATTTAGAAACTCTGTATACAGTGCTTGCAGAAAAAGCAAGCTTTTTGGCAAGTTTTCTGATCGAGCGATCCTTTTTTTCTTTGCGTTCGCACACAATTGCTTTTCGGGCTTACCCTTCCTTTGACGCCTTTTTCGACTAAGCTCTTCTAATGTAAACAAAGGTTGTTGTATTTTCAGACATACGTCCACCACTTTGTGAAATGTTTCACTCGTTGATGAGATATTTCAGGAGATTGGGGTTTAGGGGTGTCCAGATTTTGCCGCGAACAATCCTTAGTACAAATAGTGAAAATAGTTACACGATTAAGAAATTTAACAGACGAAATAGGAATATTTCTCGAACTAATCAGAAGAGCGGACGGGTGGGATGAATCTATATTCTCTCGCACGGACATCACTTTCCAGCTCGTGCGCAATTTCGCCTTCCACAGCGCTTTCAGCGTCGATCTGATCGGAGCTCATTGCGGTGAAAACGCCCGTATAGAGGAAGAGGAAGAGTAGCGGATCTTCACACTGCACCGGGCCGGATGGGATTTGTGTTGGTAAGAGAAAGAGGCAACTATAGTTAGTTTGTACTCTCTCATACCATCGCAAATACCGTCCGACCCGGGCACTGCACGGTGTAGTGAGAAGAGTTCTTCGTCGTTCCAAATTGCTTCTGCCAAATCGCATCCACCATTAGTCCCCGCCCGACATGGGAGCAAGTCGGAGCTCGGGGATAACACTTAACAGAGAAAGAGGAAGAGTAACGGAAATCTCCATCCATACACACCGTCTGTCAAATCGCTTCCACTTGTTCAGCCAGACAGTCGAGCCATAGAGGTAACTCTAAGACCAGAAGGTCCCGAAGAAATGTGCTTAACATACTATCGTCGGTCCCAAGCTAAGCGATGCACCCCTCGAAACAAAAGAAAATCCACGAACCCCTCATTTTGTCTGTCAAACGTTCATAGCGAATCAAAACAAACATAGTGTAGTACTAGAATTTCGACTAGAATGGGATACCTTAAACGATTTGCATGGGACCAATAGGCTAGTCAAGTAGTGATCCAATTTAAAATCGTTAGTTTCCACCGGTTGGTCCAGCTGGTCGAAGCTATGCGGCATCACTCAGGGTGACCAGTGAATCGGGAAAAAGCCGGGAATTCGAAGTCACCGGAAAACCCCGTGAATATCGATGACAAATCGGGAAAGAATGTACTTCGTTCTTTCCTCAAGAAAAATGAGATTTTGAATCGTGGACAAAATTTCAAGTCCTTTGGACTGGATTAGATTTTCGGAATACAGTCACTGAAGAACTATTACTTTGCTACTTTGAGTAGATTATAGAATGAATTCCAGAGATGAACGTTAAGAGAGTTTTGACTAATGTGATTTCAGCAAGAGGTAAGACACACAGCACATTGTGCCGAAATTAGCTTCGGCACAGTTTGGGCACATCCATCGGCATGTCATATTTTGTAACTTTTCAATGATAGATCTTACTTCGTCCAAATTAGTCCCCCAGGAATGATCAAACATATTTTCGCGTGAGAAAATATTCAGATAATCCCGGGCAACTTGATTCTGAATAGGACTAGTAAGGCTCAAATTAAAATTTTGGGAACTCTCGAATGCTTAGCAAGTTTCTGAAATTTTTCCGGATTTGTGATCCAAAGTTTCATGGCAGGATCGCGTGTTCTTTGATATTGCCGCCTACGGACATTTTTCAGACGGATCAAGAGCTGAAGATCGTCGTCTATTATAATTGAATCGAATTTAACCTCGCATTTTAGTACTGAGGCAGCTCTTGCTTCAACTGCAGAAGTAGCCAGAGATTCAAGAGCATTATCAATATCAGAAGCCTGTCTTTAGACTCTGCGAATAAATGTCTTTGCTCACCTTCAGAAGACTATTGATGGAAGCCTCTACACATAGCTTTCACTTACTGTTGTTAAAAAAATTTCGATGAGCAATGTCGGATGTTGCTGTGCGTCTTAAGAACATTTCCTGATTGTCTCCAGTGAACTTACGTCAGATTCTCGAAGGAACTTCCCCTGCTAACTTGTGGAAGCCTCCACACTTGGATTTCATTAAGTGCTGTCGAAATATTTTCATTCAACAATATCAGATCTTGCTGTGGGTGTCTTAGTAGGGGTTTCTGATCTCCTCCAGAATCCTGTTTTAGGTTCTTCCGAGAATTGTCTCTGCTCCCCTTCGGAAGACTAGCTGTGGAAGCCTCCACACATAGCTTTCACTTACTGTTGCTAACAAAATTTCGATGAACAATATCGGACCTTGCTGTGCGTCTTAAGAACATTTCCTGATTGTCTCCACTTACGTCAGACTCTTGAAGGAACTTCCCCTGCTAACTTCCCGAAAAGTACTTGTGGAAGCCTCAAACTTAGATTTCATTAAGTGCTGCTGAAATATGTGCATTGAACATTATCTGATCTTGCTGTGGGCGCCTTAAAAGGTGATCACCTCCCCCTCGGAAGACTATCTGTGGAAGCCTCCACACATAGCTTTCCCTTATTGCACTTGTGGAAGCCTCCACACGTGGATTTCTTTAAGTACTGTCGAAATATTTGCATTGAACATTATCAGATCTTGTTGTGAGTGTCTTAGTAGGGGTTTCTGATCTCCTCCAGAATCCTGTTTTAGGCTCTTCGGAGAATTTTCTCTGCTCTCTTTCTGGAAGATTATTTGTGGGAGCCTCCACACATAGCATTCATTGAGCGTTTTCGAAATATTGTCGTTAAACAATATCGTGTCGCGCCTTGAACGTGCTAAAGAGGAGAGTTCCTGATCACTTCCAGTGTACTTACTCTAGAGTATTGGAAGACTACTTGTGGAAGCCTCCACAATTAGTTGTCAACCAAAGTTCGATGCGCAATATCGGATCTGGCTGTGCGTCCCTGGAGGGGTTCCTGATCGCCTCCGGAGAACTTACTTCAGACTGTTGGAAGAAATTCCTCCACTCACCTTCGCAAGACTGTTTATAGAAGCCTCCACACACTTAGCTTCCATTGTGTATTCCCAAACTAAGTTCGTTGCACAATTTCTGATCTTGCTGCGCTTCTTAAGAGGGATTCCTTACTTTGGAGCAGTTCCAAATTTTAGATTTTTCCACTCAGAATTTCATGAAACTTCGCGGAATTCGCAAAAACTTGCAGGAAACTGGAATGCTTTGAACAAATACACACTAAACAAAAATTAAAAAGTTTCGTAAAAAAATAAAAAATAAATAAACTGTTTAAAACTTCAATAGAAAGCTTATCAGAAATGCTAACTTTTCTGAAATGGACACTTTGAAATTGACCAAAATCGTAGAACATAAACGTTTAGTAAACATTTTAAATTTTGTTTTCACAAAGTTTTATTTTTTATGCAGAAAACATATTTTTTAGTCAAAAAAATCGGTTTCTCATCACCTAAATATTACGTTTAACAAAATTTAAAAAATAGTACTTAAGTTTGATGTTCTTACGATTTTGATAAATTTTGAAGTGTCCGTTGTGTTTTTCTTTTTTAATTTTCAGACGAAAATTTTTGATTTTATTTTTCAGTGTGTATTTTTTTTTCTGAAAAGACATCCAGTTTCCTACACGCTATTTTGAGGCTACTCAGTGACTGGGTAGATCGCAGTCATTTTTGCATGCCTAGATAACGAAAGCTATCAGCAGCTAGTTGGTTAGGTATACAACTCTAACGAAATAGTTCATTGCTATCAATAAATACAGAATTATCATTTTCATAATGCTTTTCATAAAATTCTTCCTGGACGAAATAATTCATATACAAAAAATTCATGCGACATTCATTCGTTTCTATCGAAATGGGAAAGGTGTACTCAGCTGACAAATGTCAGCTTCTTAGTAACCGTTATCCAGTTTCCTCCACAGGCACGTTTACTCAAATTTTTGTAAAAGCATGTCTACCCATTTTTGGGTAACTTCCCTTCTGGCTGCACTGAGTGATTTTCGACTCAAAAATGAGTAGCCTCAATATTGAATTCCAAAATGGCAGCTTCTGGTTACAGATAAACTGGATAGTAATGTTAAACACCCCCACAATATGGGTATTTGCGGAATGGAGACGATATGTAGAGGCTCAAAATCGATGTCCGACGCAATTTTGGAATCTAAGATGGCAGTCCTGTTTTTAAAAAAAAACTGTCAAATACCCTACAATAGACGGAAAATTGATGGCTGATGCCATTTCGGCATTCCAATTTTCGGCATCTGCATGTCGTCTTTGTTGCGAAAATATCCATACTGTAGAGTATTTAACAGTTTTTCCCACTTTTTTGTTTAAACCGGAAGCCGTCATCTTGGATTTCAAAATAGCCCTGGGCATCTATTTTCAGTCTCAAGACGTCATCCCGATTCCGAAAATATACATATTGAAGGGTATTTAGCAGTATTTCCCACTTTTTCTGAAATTGTAAGCCGCCATCTTGGATTTCAAAATGGCACTGGATATCAATTTTCAGTCTCTAGACGTTATCCCGATTCCCAAAATATACATATTGAAGGGTATTTAGCAGTATTTTCCACTTTTCCTGAAACCGGAAGCCACCATCTTGGATTTCAAAATCGCGCTGGATATCAATGTTCAGTCTCTAGAGGTCATCCCGATTCCGGAAATATACATATTGAAGGGTATTTAGCAGTATTTTCCACTTTTTCTGAAACCGGAAGCCACCATCTTCGATTTCAAGATGGCGCTGGATGTTTATTTTTGTTCTTTAGAGGTCATCCCGATTCTGAAAATATGCATATTGAAGGGTAATTGGAAGTATTTTCCACTTTTTCTGAAACCGGAAGCCGCCATCTTGGATTTCAAAATGTCGCTGGACATCGTTTTGCGGTCTTAAGAGGTCATCCCGATTCCGAAAATAAACATATTGAAGGGTATTAGGCAGTATTTCCCACTTTTTCTGAAATCGTAAGCTGTCACTTCGATTTCAAGATGGCGCTGGACACCTATTTTTGGTCTCTTGAGGTCATCCCGATTCCGAAAATATACATATTGAAGGGTATTAAGCAGTATTTCCCACTTTTCCTGAAACCGGAAGCCACCATCTTGGATTTCAAAATGTCGCTGGACATCGATTTTCGGTCTCAAGACGTCATCGCGATTCCGTAAATATACATATTGAAGGGTATTAAGCAGTATTTCCCACTTTTTCTGAAACCCGAAGCCGCCATCTTGGATTTCAAGATGGCGCTGGACATCGATTTTCGGTCTCTAGACGTCATCCCCATTCCGAAAATATGCATATTGAAGGGTATTAAGCAGTATTTCCCACTCTTTCTGAAATCTTAAGCCGCCATCTTTGGTTTCAAGATGGCGCTGGATATCGATTTTCGGTATCTAGACTTCATCCCGATTCCAAAAATAAACATATTGAAGGGTATTAGGCAGTATTTCCCACTTTTTCTGAAATCGTAAGCTGTCACTTCGATTTCAAGATGGCGCTGGACACCTATTTTTGGTCTCTTGAGGTCATCCCGATTCCGAAAATATACATATTGAAGGGTATTTATCAGTATTCCCCTTTTTCTGAAAACGGAAGCCACCATCTTGGATTTCAAAATGTCGTTGGACATCGATTTTCGTTCTCTAGACGTCATCCCGATTCCGAAAATATGCATATTGAAGCGTATTTGGCAGTATTTCCCACTTTTTCTGAAATCGTAAGCCTTCATCTTTGATTTCAAGATGGCACTGGATATCTATTTTTGGTCTCTAGAGGTCATCCCGATTCCGAAAATATACATATTGAAGGGTATTAGGCAGTATTTCCCACTTTTTCTGAAATCGTAAGCCTTCATCTTTGATTTCAAGATGGCGCTGGATATCAATTTTCAGTCTCTAGACGTCATCCCGATTCCGAAAATATACATATTGAAGGGTATTTAGCAGTATTTCCCACTTTTTTCTGAAACCGGAAGCCGCCATCTTTGATTTCAAAATAGCGTCGGAAATTGATTTATGGATTTTAGACGTCATCCCGATTCCGCAAATATTCATATTGAAGTATTTATATATAAGTATTTCCCACTTTTTCTGAAATCGTAAGCCGTCATCTTTGATTTCAAGATGGCGCTGGATATCTATTTTTGGTCTCTAGAGGTCATCCCGATTCCGAAAATATACATGTTGAAGGGTATTTGGCTGTATTTCCCACTTTTTTTGAAATCGGAAGCCGCCATCTTAGATTTCAAAATGTTGCTGGACATCGATTTTCGGTCTCATGACGTCATCCCGATTCCGAATATAAACATATTGGAGGGTATTTGGCAGTATTTCCCACTTTTTCTGAAACAGAAAGCCGCCATCTTGGAATTCGAAATAGCGTCGGAAATTGATTTACGGATTTTAGACGTCATTCCAATTCCGGAAACACCCATATTGAAGGGTATTTGGTAGTTTTTCCACTTTTTCTGAAATCGGCAGCCGCCATCTTGGTTTTCAATATGACGCTGGTGATCGATTTTCGGTCTCTAGACGTCAGTCCGATTCCAGAAATATCCATATTGAGGGGTATTTGGCAGCATTTCCCACTTTTTCTGAAATCTGACCTCCGTATTAAAATGGATGGTTTCTTGTCGAGATGCTCCTTTATAAATGACCTATAGTACTTTGTCTCAGGAAACAGTATGAGTGACATATGACTAGAATAGATAGTCGCGACTGGATGGATTCTTGATTTTTTCGTGGTGATCTTGTCGTGCGAAAATAAATTTTTGTTTGGCGAGAATTTTCCAGGATGACCATATTTAATGTATCTTGTTCTGTGTCAATTCCGATATCTGATGAGGGCAGACATTTTCACCTTTCCTGATTTGATTTATCCATCACAGGTACTTGAAATCGTTATCCCCGTGGAATATTTTGATTTCTGTATCGATTTTGCAGAGATCCGGCTGGTGTTTCCACATTCTTTTGTTGAGAAAAAAGGAAGATTTACAAAAACCATCACAGCGGTTATGATTATGGCTATTTGAGCTGTAAATCAGTTTAGGTCTGTGGAAAATAGTATAATAAGACCACTCCCGATGGAAATTTGCAAGATATGCATACAAATATGTGTTAATTTGAGATGTAACATTGTAATGTTGATGTAAACAAACGATTTGGTTGACGTTTGCTTGAAACAGCCTATTAAATAAGATTTATTAAAAAATAACTTACACGCCATTTTGAAAAATTAGGGTATGGTCGAAATGGCCGAGTTCCGGCACAAACTTGGTTCATTGCCGCTAGTGAACAATTATGAGAATTTTCATGAAGATAAAATCGATTCGTCAGTTCGCGTGGAACTGCTCTTTAGACTCCTTTGATTTCCTCCGGAAAAGTACTTGTGGAGGCTTCCAAACATGTTATAATTTCTGTAAACAATATCGGATCCTGCTGTGAGCGTCTCAAGCGGGTCTCATCGGGTCAACTTTACCAGCTTTCTGTAATTGATTTCAGCAAGTTAAAAATATTCACTTCAAATGTCTCCACAGTTTATCTTGTGGAGGCATCCTAGTGTCGTTTTCGTTCGCAGCTCTTTAGATTCCTCCTTAACATTTTCTCACCACAGCATCCATTGTTTTCTATTAAAAGACTATCAAGCATTCTCGGAACAGCTTTCCGGACGACGTTGATGAAAGTTACCTGATCACCTCCACAATGCATACAATCTGCGAAAGCTGCTCTGTTCACCTCCATAAGACACTCCTGAACGCCTCCGCAGAGCTTGCGCTGCATGCAAAGAGAGTTGTTATTCTCGCTATTTCCCAATACGACACATTCCTCAACGATCCCGTCCAGAACATTCTACATCAATGACCGAACCATTACAACTGGAAAAATCCCAGGACTCAACCTCCATCAAACCCATAAAAAGCACCTTTGCCAACCTGCTGCTTCACTCGCTCACCCAACCCCATCAAAATTTACGAGCCTCACTGCATATGATTGCTGCACTGATGATTGCCCAAAACATTCCCCTTGAAAACCGGAGACCCGTCAAACATGAAGTAGTATCGCAGTTACGATTTCGTTTTTTTCTTCTTCTCTCGAATTCGTCGTTTCAATGGCAACTTGCAACTGAAACAAAAAAAAAACAGCCCCCAGCTTCACTCCGATCTACCTCAATGTCAATGTGATGTGATTACCCTCACCGACTGACTCTCCGGAATCTCCCGGGCACCACACAACGCTCTCCGCATCTCGGTATGTGCGCGGGATGCTTTTTTTTTTCTTTTGGTCGTTTCGCCGAATTGTCACTGCAGCAAAGAAAAAACGACCACTCGTATCTTGACTTACCCCCCCCCCCCCCCCTCCGCGTTCCCAGGTTTACCGCAACTGAAAGCGAGAGTTCACCTAATGGTCAAATGTGGAAGTTTGCTCGCTCGGTTGGAGTTTTGTTTTCGCAACTTTAAAACGATGATGTAATCGGACGGGGTCGTGATGAACTTCGGCGTGGAGTTTCGGACAGA